TTTGATCACATTTTTCCTATTTAATGTTAGGCCTGGGCTAATCTTTGATATTCGTTTGTGAATACAGATGTAACAGATTTTTTTCTCTTTGGGATATATCAATATGACCAAATGAGCAATGCTTTTGGTGAATTAAATTTGTTTTGTAATTCTCCCAATTTTTGTCACTTTTGTTTTAAATTATGTTATAGCTTATGTTTTAGTTACTGTAATTTTCAAGCTAATGCCTTGGTTTGGGTTTTTTAAAAGCTCCATGTTTATTATCAACAAAATTTCATCAGACCAACTCACATAACCATGTCATATAATCCAGTGGAGATTAATGACTGAACTGTACAATGTATATCCTTTTCACTTCCTTCTCTTCTTGCCCTCATTCTGTCCATTTTTCTTTCACACATCAGCTTAATATTCACACATGCCGTACAACAAGAAAGCAGCACATTCTTCACTTTTATTATAGGCGTAAATACTGTAAATAATAATAATACGGATTAATTTCAACCCTCTATCATTTCAATATCTCTGCTGACAAGCCCTTGATGTCTGAGGCTCACATTTGCAGAGAAGTTCAGCCTGTCAGAGGAATGATGCAGAGCTCTGTTTGGACGTGACCGGATTTTCAAAACAGGCCTGAGATGAGCAATGAACCAATTATGGACCTTTCTCACTTCCCTCCCCCACATAATGTTCACTCTTTCAGCCAAGCATTTACAGTAAGGTCTACACTGGTAACACAGTTTATGACATGTTTATAGTTTATAACCTGATGTTATCCAGCTTTGAGTCTCAGTATTTTGGCACATAGTTACTGTCTAGCTAGCTTTTACTATTCTAGCTATTCTGATAGACTGTTAACCTTTAGTTATCTTTTTTGCAAATTTTAGGTATTTTTTCTTTGCCCAGCTTAATATTCACAGTATATATGATTTTAATCTTGTTTTGCTCAAATTTGACCAGTTTCTGGGCAATAACATTTTAGCACAATTGGTGAGTTATTTTATTTTTACCAACAGTAATTTTGCAATTGTATTTTAAATACAAGTCTGCTCTGTTTTCATACTTAATTAACAATTGTTGTTGTCATTATTTTAGTTCAAAGAAAAAAAAGACAGATTCCGAAAGGAGGCTGCATAATGTGTTCGACCAAGGACACTGGCAGCATCAAACATGTAGCACATTACTGCTGCATAATTAACCCGGTCATGTGGGCAAATGACAGATGAATGAGCTTATGTTAAAGTGAGAGCGTGTGTGTATTTGTGTGCTGAACCAGATGAAGGCTGTTCCGTGCAACATGGTGTGTAGACACTGCCACAGGGTTAAATGGTCAGCCATCGACACAATGATGTCACCACCAGTGCATCACAGCAGTCACTGATAAATCAACTCTGTGCCACTGGAACTACAAGTGGATTTACACCAGTCTCTGTCGCCTAAAATTCAGAGAAAGTGACTTGAATTTAAATCAGATTTCAGTGGCCTCGAAAACCACCTTGAAAATATAACTTCTACACGGACAAGGAGCAGCATTAGCTTGTTTTTTATTTTATTGAAAATACTTATTTTGAACTGTTAACTCTGTTGCACATCTACATTGATTTTTTTTTTCTCTTGTGAATTCATACGTTTGCATCAAAAATGTGAACTGTGCAATGAAAAGTGGCTGGTGTTGTCTTTACTAATTGAAAATCTCTCACTTTTTCTTTGTCGGCCCTTTGACCTGTGCGGGCTGTTGGGAAGGGCCACCTTTTTCCACCGAGTTTTCACGCCGACAGCTCTGCTCTCCAGCTGAGGGGGAGGAGGAATCAGACAGAGGAGCTTCACAAACCACCTGGAAGCCCTGCAAGAGGAAGATGGACAGATAGTAGAGAAAGTGAATAAAGAGGCAGACTCTGATCATTAAACCCTGGGCTGGACGTTTGTGTCATGACTCCAGCTTTTCACACTAAAACTGCCACTTGGCCGGTGCTAATGAATATCTGTGGCCAGGGCCCACAGGGGACTGATGGTGGGGGGATGGGAGGTGGCTTCAGACTCATCCAATCAACACAGGAAGCTAAATCTGAGATAAACCCACCATGGGACCAGGGTTTGCAGATCCACAGGGGCTGCACTGGTTGTTGACAGGGGAGTTCCTCTTAGCTGTGGAGAACAAAACAGAGGCGATTACGCTTCACTTCAAATAATCGCATTAATGCATATCAATATTTGTTTTGGTCTAAATCATTTTTTTACCTGTCACAATGTTCCTCACAGGTTTGATAAGGGCTGTAAAGGCCGGGATGTCGGGCTGGCGGTGTTCCCACATGGGCTGCCAAATCACCAGGCCACTGGCCAAGCGAAAGGTCAGATCTGATTCCTGAGATAGGAAATGTTCCTTTGAGTGAAAAGCTTTTGTATATATGACACGTGTCTGGGTTTTTTTGTACAAATCTATTTTAGGGTGGGGAATCCCTAGAGTGCTGTAACATGAATCTGGATTTGTTTGTATACACAGATCAATAGTAACAAGGTGACCCACAGTAGTCGCTCATGGTCAAAATTTAATCTCCTGGTGTAAAATTAAGCTGAAATGTCGAACCTGCCTGAAGTCAAATTGTTCCTAAAAGTCCTGAAAATGTCTAACCTTGATTCTGTGAATAAGTGGAGCAAACAGGAACACAAACAGCTCCACTGTCTCCATGCTCTTGTGGAACAGCTTGGTACGAGTGTGTTCGTCCTCCTCCAGGAGAGAGCTGCCATGCTGGGGCCCAGAACCCCCGAGGGCTGAGACGGAGGAGCAGGATCCCGGGGCCCCTGAGGAGGAGCCCTGGTTTCCCACTGGCTGAAGAAAAGCACTGCTGCTGCTCCCAGCAGACCAGCCGTGGCCCAGGCTGGACTCATGGTTACATTCCTGGGCAGCGTCCAGCAGCATCCAGTGCAGCGTGTGGAGCAGCTTGGTCTCTGCGACGCCCAGTTTGTCCTGGTGGCCTGTTAGAGGTCAATAAGCACTTGTTTAAGTGTATGGTGTAGTCAATAAGCACAAAGTGTATGGTGTACTGAACAATCTGTATAAAACAGACATGTATCTGGGAGCTACTATTACAGTCTATGTCCATCACTGTAGCAAGCTTTCTTCTGCATTACTGCCTAAGGCAGTGGTTCCCAACCCTTTATGGCTTGGGACCCCATTTTGACATCACAAATTCCTGCACAATCAGCAGTGGTTTCGATCCTTGCCCTTTCTACTCACAAAGATGCCCATAGTATTAAATCTGCTGAGAAACACTGTGTCTGAATTATCAGACCACTCTTTGGTGGATGCTCCTTTTATACACAACACTGAAAACTGTTCTCATATAAAACAAAACAAATAAATCTCATATGATTCTTATGAACGTTTTACTCATATCCTCAATGTCATGTTTACTGTGGATTGTGTTTCAGAAGATTAAGTTTGCAATGGTTTTAGATTCCTCAGTGAAGAGAATATTTATATTTTCATCCTTTTATCTGTAAATACGCAAGTCAATCACCAATCTACAGACAGTAGTTTTATTGCTGTCTTCCATAGATGTTTCTAGATGCTGACAGGCTCCGGAAGAATAAATTCATCAAAGCTCTGTTCCCCCTAAGTCACATGACTCTTCACCGTCTGCCCTGTGACTGGAAGAACACGTATTGTGCCATCTGCAAAATGAGGCTGTCAAACCTAATGCCTTCAGCTGTGGTAAAAAGCTGCATCCTATGTGTCCTTACCCAGCTTGTTCCTGTTGGACAGCAGGATAGAGGTGCAGTGGAGGACATGAGGCAGGGCTGTCTGGACCAGTTCCCAGCGGGAGATGCTCTGGATGGCCTCTGACAGGGCCGGTGACAACCCGTGGAGCTTATTCTCCACCAGCACCCGCTCAAAGGACTGGGGAAGCAGCCAAGAAACAGGGAGAAGAAGAAGAAAAAAGACATCAGCCTGGGACCAGACTATTGAAACGTCCCTCATAGCCTGGAGCGAGTCCGTGCCTTTGGGGAAGACACTGCAAACTCTGTTTGGATCCAGAGGGATCTGGGAGACTGTCATTATGGATGTGACTTTTCAAAGGCTCTGGCTCATGGGTAATAAAGGAAGCAACCTGGGAAAAACTCATTTGCTAAATGGAAAATCACTTGACCTGCAGCTGCATTGAGGTAAAAACAGATTAGTGTTGTAGCCGGTGTTTATATGCTTTCTGAAATGACTCACCACACATGAGGCTTCATACTGCTTCCCCAACTTTGGCCGCAGAAATGCACTGCAAAAACACAGGAATTTCCACTCGTGACATTTGGAACAAACATGACACTTGACTACAGCTACTGCACACGCTGTTCTCCCTGCATGTGGCCCACTTTCCTATGCAAATTTGATTTTCAGGTGCAACATCAACCAACCTGCGTCCCTGTCCATCTCCGTTTCCCTAAATTACACTGAATGTACAGTTAAGAACATCTACTGAGAGACTGTGGACGTTGCGCCGGTGTTCCTTCACAGGCTGAATAATCAAAACCAGGACACGTATTTTGTCAGAAATCACACAACACACGTTTCATGTGACAGACGGCGGCTCCACACGACTGCTGTCACGTTGCATACGCGGATTTATCGTGACAGTGGGGGGGAAAAGCACACACCTGTTATCAGCGTCCACTAACCTGGTCTGTCTCCACAGGAAGGTCTGAATGGGGAACGGTATCCCCTTCCCGCACTCTGACTCGTTCTCGTCCAAGCTTTTTCTTTTCACCATGTTTTCTGTTTATGTGACCGGACCCGCCGGTCAGACTGGGACCAGTATCCAGAGACGGGGACCAATAATACCACTGGGAGCTGGACTCCCGCTGCCGCTGCTGCTGGCTGCGGCCAGGTGACGAGCAGCAAAGGATTTCCTTTCACGACATGATGTTTGGCTTCGTCCTGCGTAAAATGGCTGCAAGTGTCGGTCGGCAACAGAGGTAGAGAGAGGTATGAGGAGGGAGAGAGGGAGGGA